TTTCAGTTTTGTTGTCAAGATTTAATACCCTCTTCAGAGCTATGGAGGTGTTTACAAGTCCTCTTGGTTGCTTTCAGAAAGTTGTAAGCAGTTTGTATCTGAACACAAATCATATACCACTCTGTGAGGTTTATGATTTGTTTGTTTTTAAATATGTTTTCTTTCTGGAGAAACCAATCATGTCATCTACAGTTACTTCTGAAAATGGTTAACTAAATCAGCCTGGATGGCTTTTCAAACCTGTTTATTACTAGAATGGCTAAAAAGGAGTGTGCAGTTAAAATAGTTTTAAAAACAGAGGTCGCTGCCAGTCTAACAACTCTTAGCTGATGAAAACTGAAATTATAATACAGTGTCCTTCAGAGTGGATTTTAGTTTTTGCTTTTTTCGTGCTCTCTCTCTCTCAACATTGTAATGTACAGAATGTTAGAACACCACATGCCGCAAGACCATAGCGGACAATTTCAAGGACAGGTTTTAAAAGCTGCAAGTTAATTTTTTTTCAGGACCTTACATTTGTGTCTGACTTGATGTAAATACACTATAGTTGGAGTACTTGGGGGGAACAGAAAAGTTATAAGCCAGTGTGAGAATGTCAAAGTTCTTGTTAAGCAAAGCATAAGAGACTTCAGCCTTGGGCCTTCAGCCCAATCCTTAAGAAGATGCTTTGGAAAAGCAAACTAAGGAAACAAAAATCATTCTGTCCACAAAATGTAGTTATTCATGGAAAGCTGAAGATCATCTCTTGTGTGTTGTTGTGAGGAGGTTCTTCAGCAAGAAGTACTCTCTAATATTATTTCAGGAAGTTGGCTATGTATGGTTTAATGCTGTCTCGGTAGATTTGATTTCAAGATACTGGGGGGGGAGCGGAGGAGAGAGAACCCGGGGAATGCCTGGTGTACTTCCTGGCGTAGGCTGCTCGGGAGTCAGTGCAACTTTGTGGTCATCTTAAGGCAATCTAACTGCCACCCCCCAGCTGACACTACTAACCATGTGACAGCTTAAATAATAATAATTAAAAAAAAAAAAAGCCAAATCGGTGAGCTGATCTGGTTGACTGCACAACTTCACACTCCCCAGTGCTGGCAGAAGGAAAAGTCAGAGAGCGGGCAAGGCTGGCTGCTGCGGGGGTGACGGCAGCCTGCGGTTGGATTGACTTGGGCAGACTGCGGCAATGTACGCTAGATAAATAGGTCACTTTTCTGGCCTGTAGGTTGTTTGTGATGTCACTAGTATTAAAAATTGCTGGATTTTTAAACTACTGACCTTCGCTAATGGAGCTTGTGAAATGCCACGTTCAGAAATGCTGGTGATATTTACCTGCTGGAGAGAGTTATGCCTCCTTTGCATTCCTAATCCGATACCACGTCAGGAATTGACGGACCAGAAGTTTGTTCTTCTGAGGGCTCTTAGTGACACGTGTCGCCTTTTTTTTTTTTTTTTTTCCCCTGCAGTTTGTGTGTACTTAAAGTTCATTCAGGTGGTGAAACCGTGCTTGTTATAGGTCAAGCACAGACAGGTATTCGCAAACGTCTGCCACGCTTCGGTACAAGCATGTGTCAGCGCTGGCTTGTGGTGCTGCCTCCAGTCCGCTCTCGTGTGCTGGCTGCAGTCGGGGTGAATTGTCCAGTTCTGCAAGATGAGCTAATGAAGTCTGGGATAAACTAGCTTCCGTCTTTCACTGGTGAGCCTGTGGCAGTTACAGGCTGAACTCCTTTTTACAGGTCCTTATGCCACCTGAGTGTTTTCTACTTTTAATTTGGGGATATTCAACATGTAACTCCCTATTCTCGCAAAGCTTTTCTGGTATACGCTATCAATGTCTGTAAGCTGTACGTGTTCTTTTACAGATTGGTGATAGTGAATATGTCCAAGTCTTATGAGTAATAGTGATCGTACATGGCATGGAAACCATTGCTAAGCTTAGATTTATATGGCTTTTTCTAAAATTGGCATATTTTCCAAGATAAGATCACAAACTTACTTAAATTTGAGAAGTACTGAGGGTTTGTTTGTTTTTTTTCCCCAGTATAAACACGTATGGCTAAAGATCTGTTAAAAGAGGGTCACGTTAATAACAGGGCACGCTGGCACGTTAGCACTGAGACATCTTAGCGCTTTTGGAAAGATGGTAAATAAGGACTGGAATAATTCAAGGAATTTAATGGAAATTATTTTCCCATTAAATTTTAAACAACAACAAAAAAAAATAGCGGTAGGATATATGTAATGGGAACACAGCAATAATTACCAGTTCATTTCTTTGTTAAAACATATTTGCTTGCAAGCAGGCTGAGTAAACTAGTATGCATGATGTATTTAGAATTTTTTTAGGACTCTCCATGGTTCTTGTAATAGAACTATCAGCTTATTAACTAAGCAGTCATATTTGCCTTTTTATTATGCATGTAAAAACTGAGCTTTCTTTAGCGCATGATTTTTGAAGAAATGTACGTTTCTTGACAGCTATATTTAGTCTAAAATGCTAATGTATTTTTGACTCCTTTTTAAACTATGCAGTAGTGCAGTCCATCTAAAGGTGGAACAAATTGCTTAAGCTTTTTTATTCTTACTTTTGATAGGAAACACACATAACCCCCTTAACAAACATAAAGCGATTGCCTTCCTCTGCAGACTCTTTAAAATAAGTAGGAAGCCTGTATTATAATATTTATTTTACCTGCCCACATAACAGAGCAAAAGAAATTTAAAACAAATGCTATGTCATGCTGGGAAATGTAAATCAGGTGACAGATTTTGATCCTAACTCTGTGGGATACCACCAGACGACTTTGCATATATCAAAAAGCGCGCCGTGGCAGCGGAGGCTGAGCAGTCTCGTTGGCCGCGATGAATTTATGCCTTGCACCCGCGGGGAGCCCGCTGAAGCGCATAGGCATCCGCGCAGACGGGGAGGGGGCTCACAACTGGAGCCGCTTGTAGAACTGGGGATTTAAAGCATGGGGGTTTTACCTAAAGGAGGATTGTAGAGAGACCTGTACGGTCCTGGGCTGTCTCCATATAGCCCAACTCAATAGGCCGTAGGTAAAATAAAAAAGAGGAGAAAAAAAAGAAAAACAAGGCATGAAAAAAGACATACTTGCACCATTATAAACAATTCTAATAATAATCTGAATAGAATTTTTCATTTACTAGTTGCTGGTAAAACTTATTTGTTAGTACGCATTCTACAGATTCTTCGTAAAAAGTGAATCATCGAGACCTTTTATTATAGTGGGTAGAATTGCTGTGGGGTGAATGCAGGAGAAGTACTAGAAAAAATTCAGACGAGTCTCAGCTTCCGTGCAAGTCTATTTAAAAAGAAAATAATACAAAAAGCGTGGCAGTCCTGCCACTTGGCTACGTGCTTCATATAAGCTGAAGAATTCTGCCTTTACTCCTTTGCTGTGCTTTAATAAAAGCCAGTGCTGATGATCCTGTGTGCTAATTGGTGTTTAACGAGCCAGTAGATGTATCTTTTGGACCAACATTACAGAATGGGACAGATAAGAAACAAATGTTTCTTATCTGTATTATGTTTCTACTTTCCATTTAGTTGCCTTAGCCTACCTTTTAGCCTTTTCCATGGCTGGTGTTTCTCTTTGCGAAAATAACCTTTATTTTCCCGGTGTACCCCTCTTCCTTCCTCTCCGTGCTCTGTCATTCCCACCTGCTATTGTTTTTTCTCTCCACCTTCCTGCTTTTGTATTCCTTTGTATTTTCAAAAGCAAAAAACGTCTGTACGATGAGGACTCCCATTGTCCGAGGACTCTATACAAATACACAGAAAACGCTGTTAAACACGGCTTCCCAGCCCATGTTTACCGTTGCTGAGACTGCCCGAAGTGGGATCTGTGACCGAGGGGGTCGGTGCCGTTACAGCAAAGCCCATCTAATAGCTGCTTTCGCTAAAAAGTGGCTTTACCCGTCCTGCCAACCATCCAGCGTTGTCACCGTTTTTGTCCCGATGCTTATCTGACCTGTGGTGACGTGGAGCAGGGAGCATACTTGGTAGACAACCGGCTTTGCTAAAAAAGCTGTTAGTTTGGGGCATTATAGTTTCCTGAGTGTGGTGACCGTAGAATTAAAGAACTGTGCAAGGGTGGGAATGTAACCTCATCCTTTAACCAGCTGCTGCTTTGGGTTAGCAGTACTGTCAGAGCCTGCCCTAACCCTGTCAGTGTAGCTCTGTTCTTGGTGGTGGCATGCCCACATCTTGAGTGAACAAAAGGACCAGGTTTAATTTTTTGTGTTTTATATACTTGCACTAGGACTTCTACCTGGGGAAAAAAAAATACGTGTGTATATATATATTTAGCCCTGAAGTGGTCAGGCAGTTGGACTAAATGACTGTTGTAAGTCCCTTCCAACTGAAAGATATATATATAAATATATATATATATAAAAACTTCTAACTGGAATAACTGTCCAAGAACATGAAGCATGACTCAAACTGAAGACACAGCCTTCCATTTCATTCTTGTTCATAGCTAATTTTGAGGCCCTTAAAGTAGAATGTTTCACAGTGATAGACATGAGAGAGGTTTCAGTAATATTAAAATATTTTTTTGTGTCAGGGTGATCGTTAAGGGATCAGGACCCATCCACAATCCAAGCTGTAGCCTGCGAAGGCGGGGTGATAGCAGTGTTGGCAATTAATATAATCATGCCCTCCGACTGTTCTGATATAACACTGTTTAGCTGTAATTTTAATTTCCTCTGCAGAGCAGTACAAAGTTCTAGCCAGAGCAGATGAAGGAATTGCAGCAGGTCAGCAGAATGTGTGGCTGTCATTGCCGTAACAGTTGTCTTCAGCTTTGATTTCACAGCTTGTGGAAGAATGTTGTACCAGGTTTGGAGGAGAGACTTTTGAGTGTTATAGCTTATATGAATATTCCACTAGACAGGGAAACAAATTTAGGCAAGAGGATTCTGACAGCCCTAGGTTTTTGAGGTACATGAGGAATGATCAATCATGCAGAAGTCTTGCTGTGATAAATTGCAATGGGGAGAGAAATCTGTGCAGAGAGGTAAGTGATGCCATTAATCGACAACAAAAGAGCTATCTGAGTGTTGGAAAAGGGGTCGGAAACCCGGAGCGGTCAGGAAGGTGTTACTGGGAGTTGCGTGCAGCTTTTCAAAAGGACGTGAGTAATGGTCTTGAAAGCAGGGAGAGTCATTGCAGGTGGTGGCTGATGGCCGGTGATGCTGAGCAGATAAGGGGCAGCAGCTAAAATCTAGAAAAGATACTTCTTGATGTTGGATTCTCCTTCTTTAAACTACTGATTTGATTTATTTTACTGGTTTTCTTTTCAGCACCTTTGAGAGCTTCTCCCTTCATCTCAGGCAGCCTGTGGTCTGCAGGCTTTGCTAATTATAAGGCAGCAGGAGTTTAACCATAATAATGAAAGTGCGGTACTGCAGATTGCCTTTCAACCAAAGCTGCGCTTCAGCAAAGACTGACTAGGATATACCTTTTATATGTGAAAATTAGATGGGTCTTCAGACTTAAACTGTCGGTTAGGGACCAGTTAAACAATGTCACTTATATATCCATTTCACTACATTCCTTCTAGCGAGGCACACGCAGATTGCCTAAGGTATGTTGTGGTGCTGTGTTTAAAAACCCCAGTCTTTGCTTTTGTGCAGATCTTAAGCATATGCAAGTCTCAACGTCAGGGCTGTTAAACTAATTAGAAAATTCATAATACGAATTTTATATTAAGTGCTAGCCAAGGTCACTCTTTTGGGGAAAAAGTCCACGTGCATTTGCACATATCAGTGTAAGGTGTCAGGTTTTTTGCCATTAAACTGTTCCTCTAAAGAGGAACAAGTATAGCTATGGCAAAATATTGACAAAATAACCATAACTGTTGGCAGAGTAACTCTTGGTGTAGCTTGGATATTGGTTACCAAGAAGCTCTTTGTGGTGTAGACAAGTCTTGCCTATTCATTCATATAATCAATTTATTTCGGCTAGAGACTGGTCATAGATGGGGAAGGGAGGGCTTTGAAACGTGCTTTATTCCCTTTTCTCCTGCTGGTCGCTCCATTCTGGGATAGTAGTTGAAGTGCTTTCGATAGTCCCTGGCGTGTCATTTGTGCGAATACAGAATACAGCAGATACGTGCTGTGAACACCCTCAGCACAACGGCTGAGGTATCTTGTAAACTTGTCCGTCAGTGAATCACCGTCCAGTTTGGGCAGATCTGTCAGGGGTGAGCGGCTCCTTTTTAAAACTTTGGAGTTATGGGCGTTATTTTTTGCATTCCTTCTCTTCACTTTTGTGTCTTGCGAGTATTGAAGATCATGTCTTCCAGTGAGTCGTCACCGATCCTGTAGAACTTACCAAAAACTTCGCAGCAAGGAGTGCTGCTACTCGATCCAGCTCTGGCATCATCAGTAGCTTTCTTAGCAAAATTCCTGTATTTGGTGTGATAAAAAGAGGAACTTTCAGTTGTTATTTGTCTGCTGGGTGCTTCAGACAGTGTGGAAAACATCGTTGATGAATGAATTCCTTAAAATGAGACCTCTGCTTGGGTTCAGTCTATGTTAATACTTAATTTTGCATAATATTTGAATAATCTTGCATTATTAGTTTTAAAAGCCTTGAACGGCTGTCAAGAAATCACCAGAATCACTCTTCCTAGTAGTTTGTGTACTTGTCTGAGATTAAATATTTTCTTTGTACATCACCTTTCAGATGTTTATTTTGCAAACTAAGTCCCATTGGAAACTGTATCTTTTTGGCTTCTTGAAGAACACTGAAACTGATGTCTGGAGCCAGTACTGACACTTTTTTTTTTCTTGTTCAGAACATCTGTGGCGTCTGTTGTCTTTTGGGCTTTGGTTTTCTTTGGACTGTATATTGCTAAATTCTTGCCTGCTTATTTTGCACAGCTTACAGCTGTTGGGACTAACACCGTTTCCCGCTTCTAATGCGTTTGAAAGGACGATTTGTAATGTATTGTTAAGTCCCTTTGACCAAAGCAGTGATAAATTTGTGTTTTCATTATGCTCCACATTAAGACTTTTGAATTCTATAGAGTAATAAACCCACTTAAGCGCTTGTACGTTCCTGCAGTATAGCTTTAGCTTTTCAGAGTTTATTACTCTTACGGTTGTTTTTATACTTGGACAAAACTGGGATTTTCTTGCTTTTTGATGAGTGAATTATGCTTTTTGTATATGCAGTGAGACAACAGGGTTATGCGAAAACACTCTTAGGCCAACCTTCAAAGGGTACAGTTCTGTTTAATATCGTCCTTTTGTCACCAGACTTCTACTTTCTACTATCAGGAGCTTTTATTGTTACAGCTGGAACATGCAGAAATAGTTTAGCTACCTCTCTGTCTTTTAGCAAAGACCGTTTCAGTGCATTTTATTTCCCTGTTTGTACTACCATTTTAGGCAATATTCAAAGAATTGTTTTGAGTGGCTTAATGTTTGTTTGCTTTCTCAGAAATGCTGTCCCAGATTTGATTCAAGTGGTTTGCAGAATAAGTTTACCGATACCAAAATCCTTTCTAATTCCACTACCAAGAGCTAGCAAAACCTCGCTGTGTAACTGTGTGTGTGTCTGGGGGAAGCACTGGATTTTTCTTGGTTTTCTTAGTAAAAAGAGGGTTAATGTGAAAGTGATGCTACCGGTACAACTGCAGGTGCTACGGTGGACAACACTACAGTTTAAGGGCCTGGATCTTTCTTGGTGTAATCCTGACCTCACTTCAGAGGTGGAATTTTTAGAATTTAACTTTCTCATAGTTTTGAGGAGATTGGAACATAAGAAGAACGACATATGGCAAAGTTTTTTCTTAGCTGCCGGTGTGTGTGGAGCAAACAACAAAGTTATGTAAATAAATGTATGCAGTCTATCTGATTTGATATGTTTGACTATTCCTTTTTTTTTTTTTTTTTTTCCCCTCCAGCTGGTAACTGTGATCTCAGATACACTCCTTCGTGTGTGAGGGTCAAAGAATGAGTAAGAGCCTGTTAATAGAGGACAGTGGGAGTTGTAAAGAAGGAAAGACAGGAATAGAGTCTGCCTGAGCATTTTTCTATTCAGCTTTGGCAGTTCTGTAAAATGGAGCAAAGGATGAAAATGTTGATCCTGGCATTTGCTCTGGGTGGTTCTGATACAGTTGGATGATAGTAAGTAGTCAGCTGGGAAGGGCTGGTTCCCGGGTGGTGAACCCTCACAAACTCTGGATGAGGGGGTTGAGTGCACCCTCAGTCAGTTTGCAGGTGACACCAAGTTGGGTGGAAGTTTTGATCTGCTGGAGGATAGGAAGGCCCTGCAGAGGGACCTGGCCAGGCTGGGGCGATGGGCCGGGGCCAACTGTGTGAGATTCAACCAGGCTCAGCGCCGGGTCCTGCACTTGGGTCACAACAACCCCATGCAAGGCTGCAGGCGTGGGGAGGAGCGGCTGGGAGCTGCCTGGCGGAAAAGGCCCTGGGGGTGTTGGTTGACAGCCGCCTGAACATGAGCCAGCAGTGTGCTCAGGTGGCCAAGAGGGCCAATGGCATCATCCTGGCCTGTAACAGGAACAGTGTGGCCAGCAGGACCAGGGAGGTGATGGTGCCCCTGCGCTGGGCACTGGTGAGGCCGCCCCTCGAATGCTGTGCTCAGCGCTGGGCCCCTCAGCCCAAGGCGGCCATGGAGGGGCTGGAGTGTGGGAGGTTGTAGCAAGGTGGGGGTCGGTCTCTTCTCCCTAGTAACAAGCGATAGGACGAGAGGAAACGGCCTCAAGCTGCGCCAGGGCAAGTTTGGGTTGGATATTAGGAAAAATTTCTTCACGGAAAGGTTGTTCTTCACTGGCCCAGGCTGCCCAGGGCAGGGGCTGAGTCCCCATCCCTGGAGGTATTTAAAAGCCGGGGAGATGTGGTGCTTAGGGCCATGGTTTAGTGGTGGGCTTGGCAGTGCTGGGGTAACGGTTGGACTCGATGATCTTAAGGGTCTTTTCCAACCTTAACGATTCTGTGATTCTATGATAAACTTGAGGGTCTGTAGTTTAAATTATCCGATGAGGAGTATTGTGTCCTTGTGGCTGAACACAAGTGTATGCCTTTACTGTGCAAGGATCCTTCCCAGTGCAGCTGTCTAGGATGGAGAAAAGTGGAAGTTCACTTGAATGGCCTGCCGTGTTCATGGAGAACACAAGTTTCTAGAACTGTTAAAGCTAAAGCCTGAATATTCAAAATAAAGTTAGTTTGAATGTATTAGGTGAGGCAGTGTAGATTTTAAGGGAGTTACCTGCTATACTTGTTATCTTCTGTTTTTTCAGTGGCTGTAGGAATGTACCAGTCAAAGGAATTTTTTTGCTACTACTGTGGCTAGTACAGAATGTTCGAAAGCTTTTTTCCTTTTGCTGTTTTTTTTCCTCCCCGCTCTAGAGGGAAGCTTCTAAGCAGAAAGCTGAGGTGTGGATGTACAACACTGGCTGTTCTGCACAGGCTTCGTCACTGATGATGTAGAGTAACTGAGGTTTCTTCACGTTAGCTTTCAAAATAGCGTTCCTCACACTCGAGCGTTACTGGTATCCATGTGGAGAGTCAGCAGTAAGCGTAAGCAATGTGCCTGTTGCATAGCAGGTAGCTTCTACAAGCTGCAGAAAATAGACTGATTCTTTTACATAAGATCTCTATCTGAATTTGTTTTTCCCCTGTATGTGCCTATATAATTATTTTTTGTTTTATTTTAAGGATTGGACCTATCCCATGAGGAGAGAGATGCAGGTATGATGTTTTCAGTTACCATTTGAATCAAAACCCATGGTGCACTCAGTAAGAAAGTGCCCTACAAAGGAGCTGGTATCGAAACCAGTCTTTAGGGGCGAAGCATCAGTCTGCACCATGGGAGAGATGTGCAAGGATTGCCGGCTTAGAGTGCGGGTGGGCTAAAAAAGGTAATCTTGTCCTTTTCTTCAGAATCCCCAAAATACTATATTTTTGTTATTCATGAATGTTTTTGGGAGATGATTCCTAAAAATGTATTGGAGCCTTGCTTTTTGACTTAAATTTGGTTGGAAGTAAGTGCTCTCAAGTAGGAGCTCTGGACAATTAAAATTTTCCTACCATGACATCAGCCAAACCTTTGCACAAGATAAGATCTACAGACCTACGTGTCTTTATTGGTGGGGAGATAAATGGTTGAAAATTGATATTTTCCTACTACTAGGACAAGGCTAGAAGACTTACCATGTGTGTATCTTTTTCCATGAGAGCGATTTGGAATTAATTACGAGACACGATTGTATACAAAATTAGAGCTCCCTTCATTTGATCTGGGGCTGGGTAAGATGTAGTAATCAAACTGGGACTTAATCCAAATAAAGGACTTGATTCCTGTTCCAAAACAAGATCTCCTGCACAAAGATCATGTTTCTTTTATTTTGCCAAACCGATTTTTTTTTTCCCTTGTCCTGTTATAAATGGCACTTGATAGCACATCTCTCACTAGTATGTAAGTTACTTGTTTTCGTGGCCATAGTTTGAGTTGAACGCAATGTATTATTTCAAATAATTTTGAGTTGATATTAAATGTCTGTTTTTTTGTCCCCCCTAGGAAATTTTACCTGGGTTATTTTTAGGCCCATATTCTTCAGCTATGAAAAGCAAGGTATGATATTCAGAGTAGTAGCTCATAAGCAGACTTTGCTGTGGTGATTTGTTACTGTGGCGATATGTTCAAGTGTTATCTATATTGATGTAAATCTGGTTGCAATCCTGAACTGGAACATGAAGATGCCAGAGTAGAAGTAATACATGGTGCATTTATGGTCCTTTTAGCCTGCAGGATTATCTGACTGGGGCCAGTCTCATGCCTCCCCTTTGCAGGGTGAATCTGAACTACCACCTCAGCCACACGCTGGGGCAGTTGTCACTTACAAGGCTGCATTTTCCTTAACAATCTTGTGAGCTAAAGGGTTGGTTCAGGAGAAAAACGAAACAGAGCCTTGATGATTTTCACGTGGCTCGAAGTTCTGCATGCGTTCGTACACACGCACGTGCATGCTCTCTCAATTCAGCTAGACAGCTTTACCTGCGCCTTACAAACCAGAGAAAAATGCGAGTTTGAAGTGGCTTGCACACTAATTGCAGTGAGCATTCATGTGTGAGCTTTTGGTATTAAAATGGAGTCTTAAGGTTGAATATAATTTTTCTTAGAAAAAGGTAAAACATTTGAGACTTGCACATTACTGATTAGGCAATCTATTGCCTTTGCTAAAGTGTTGCAATACAAATCAGAAGTGGGAACTCGCACATCTGCAGTAAAGTAAGGTAAATTGCATCCACAATGAAGTCAAGCACTGCTACGGCAAAGCTTGCATCTGCAGGCTTCCCTCATAGTTTAAATGATCTTACTTTCAATGGTCTGATTCCAGCAAGAATCCAGTTCTAGCTGAAAATTACCGCATCGTGTAGGGACTTGCGGTTTCAGGGAAAGTGAAAGGTGGGCAGAGACAAACAAGTTCATTGAATGCCTTCTTTATTGCTTATTCCTTTTGTCATTGTTAGGAATGCTTTTTCTTGCAGCTCCTAATGGTTGTGTTTTGTCTTTTTGAAAGACAAAATCTTTCACGCTATGCTTTGAACATTAGAAAGCTAGCTCGGATTTTCCTTGAGGACATGATATAGCCCTATTGTGTATTTAAGTGTAGCTTTTCTTTTTATTACTGTGCAATAGATGGATTCAGTAATTTAAAATAAAATCTGTTTTTTTTTTTTCTTTTTCCGCAGCTACCTATACTTCAGAAACATGGCATAACCCATGTAATATGCATACGGCAAAACATCGAAGCAAATTTTATTAAACCAAACTTCCAACAGCTATTTAGGTGAGAAATGATCATAACATGCTGAACTGCACACAATGAAAGATCTTACTTTTAAACACCTTATTCTGTATTAATGAGATCGGGGTTTTTTCATGTTAGTGTTCTTTCCAAATATTTTCACATCATCAAAAGTATTTGAAAAATGTGGGAAGGTGTAGGAAGACTCTTAAATCCAAGCCATGAAGTTTTTTCATCCATCCAACTCTAGACAGAGATAACACCGCAAATAAGAAGTATCCATGAGCTTACAGTGACTGTCTTCAGTTTTAAAGTTGTTAGTTCTGAGTACAGTTTGTCCTGCTAATAAAACGTTTGAGGTAACGTCATCAGAACGTGTGTACCTCTGAAAAAGTTGCATAGAGCCCCAGAAAAAGAACACTGGCCCGCATTTACACACTGATGGGGAGGACGTGCGTAGGTAGTACACTGCTGTCGAACAAAGTTGAGTTGCTGGTAGCGTAGCACTTGTGAATTTCTGCACTCCGAGAGGTGGTTTTGTCAGGGGATGCTGGAGAACGTTCCTCACTGCCTTCCTTGGAAGCACAGCTCCAGAGGTTGCTCGTTTGTCTTCTCAGACCAGAAAGTAAAGCCGGGAGCGTGGTGCTGGCTTCTTTCGGCAGGTTTGAGTCTTGGAGCAGGGTTGAATCAGCTGCAGGTATACAGGTAGCAGCAACTCGGTGTTATTGTGTACTCACAGCAACTGTTTTCATTGTAGGTATTTAGTCTTGGATATTGCAGATAATCCAGTCGAGAATATAATACGATTTTTCCCTATGGTAAGTATTTGTGTGTTAATGTGAATGGATTAGGAGAGTTTTCTGAACTAACAGATACCAAGATTTGGGATGCCCAGCCTGAGGCACCTGGAGGGGCCGAGAACTCTTAAATGACCTTATTATTGCCACTTGAGTAAGCGTGATTAACTCCTTTTTACAATAGAGAAACTGAGGCAGAGTTGTGAGAGATATATCTTACTATGGTCTCAAAAAAAAAAAAAAAACTGGTCTCAAAACAAAAAGAAAACAGGTCACGGGAGAATGCTAGTTATTTTGGAAACCCGTGGCCTGTAGGAAACTTGAGCCCAAGAGTGTTTACATTTCTTGTATCAAATAGTAAAACAAATTCAACAGAAAACAGTAACTAGTTGGTGTAACTAAGGTTTACAGTAAGCATGTTTCAAAATGCTGTAGAGGAATTAAAAAGTAACTTTAGTTAAACAGTGCCCATTAGATACTGACATTTGGAAATAGAATAAACCCGTAGTTTTGTGCTATGGGTTTGTATCCTTATTTTAGGTTAGTTTGCAACAGAGCAAAAGTGTTTTGTTCCTTCCCCCACCCAAAAAAACCCAACCTACCACCAAAAAGCTCTTCTGGCTTCCCTGTGTATGGCAGCGGTGGTCATGTTTTTGCAGAAGGCGGCAAACCGGTTGATGGCTTGCACCTTTTCTGAAGTAAATGCCATTTGATCAAACAACATCCTTCGCAGATCTCGCAGCTGCTGACATCTTAGCAGCTCTGTGCTGGTATATTTTAAGAGTCTAGTCTGAGTTTTCCCCCCCAGTAAATTATTTAGCTTTTGCTTTTCATCTAATCAGCTGTTTCAACCTGGCAGTATTCCACAGACCTCGCTACATCACATCTCGCCTTATAGATTGATTAGACCTACTTTTATAACTGCGAATATCATTGGAGAACTCCTAGGAAGACACAGGTGTCGTGGTGTGCTCCAGGCCATGTCGGTGGTGATGCCTGTGGTTTTTTGTTTGGTTTTTTCCCTCCCCCCACACTGTTAAGCAAAGATGTTTGGAAGTTACTTTTTTATTACAGTGGCATAACGTGTGACATAATGGTTGTAAAAGGCACGCATACTGGATTCTTATGCATTTTTGTTTCTGGCTTCACACTAGTTTTTCACTGATGATTTTACGGATAGTTAAAAGTACAAAAGAAATATAAATGTCCAGTTGAAGTGATATCAAAGTCTCTATAAACAGAGTGCATTATTATCACTGTATATAAAGACCGATAGAAAAATTCTACCAAACTTAAATGCAAGTAGTGGTAACATCTAAAATAATGTGAAACTTTGAGCCATGTAATTTTTTTTTCTTTTTAGACTAAAGAATTTATTGATGGAAGTTTACAAAGTGGAGGTAAAACCATATTAACTTTTTTCCTTCATTTATTAATGCATTATTGTTAAAGCTTTACCACTAACTTAGTGGTATGTGTTAGAAGCTTTTAAGTATGAGGTTTTCTTAAATTTGGGGTTTTATTGTGCTTGACTTGAACTATATTATACAAGTGTAGAGCAAAGTGTTTTTCTTTCCTTTTGCCTCCGACTGGAAAACAAACCTCTCTGTATATCTGCTTGTGGCTTTGGGGGTTTTTCTTCCTCACTTTAAAGACAACTGTGTTCTATGCATGAGAGGTTTTTTTGTCCCCTCTCTAATGTAGGGCTTTAAATCTGCATTGTGGTCCTGGAATGCGGATTCTGTTACTCAAAATCCTCAGGGGAGCAGGAATCCATGCTTCTGTATCCCAGGGCAGTAAGGGACAGAGTGTAGTTAGTAATCTAGAGAGAAGTAAGACACACCTATTATTCTTAGGATGCACCTTGCTACTGTGTTGTTCTTGATAACAAGGAAAAACTACATTTCAAAGAATTTTCTTCAGTCTATACAAGTATGGTTTGCTGTTTTGTTTTTGGGTTTTTTTTTTTTCCTTCTTAGGAAAAGTTCTTGTCCATGGAAATGCAGGGATTTCTAGAAGGTAAGAAACTATCCATCCTGCTTATTAATTTTTTTTAAACAATGGAAATATATTTTATTATTTTTTTTTTTTCTTTTCAGTGCTGCCTTAGTTATTGCATACATAATGGAAACGTTTGGGGTGAAGTACAGGTAAGAACAGAGCGTGGTCGTGTAGTTAACCATTTGCCTGAAAAGGCTGAAGGGAGAGAGTACTTTAGTACAGATAAGAAGTCTGATAGGTCTGTAGGTATTCATTTTCAAATTCAAGTGGTGTAAGTGAATAACTTTGGAGGGAACGTAAACAGTCGTGTATTGACGCATAAGCCAGTTGTTACCTACTGAGATTGAGTGAAGACTTTGCCTGGGGCAGATCATTCCATTTCACTTTACTGCAGGCTTGTTTCCACCCTTTCTTTAAGAAGCAGTAGGTACCTGCTGCTAATGGGAACAGGATACCAGCCTACACAGATTGATGCCTCGCTGTAAAGCTGTAGGAGAGGCCCCAAGAGGCTGTTCTAAGTAGTGTCTTGAAAACAGGCCAGCAAGCTGAAGACTGGAGGTGGTCAAACAGTGTTTTACAACTACTGCTTCCTATTTTGCCCAAACAATTCCAGCTATACAAACCAGTTCTGAGGAGTGTTTAGAGGTTGTGGATTTCCTAAGAGCTGATAATCGGAAGGAAGACCCCTGAAACCACAGAGACTTTTGTCATAGCCTGTTTTCTGCTGAAGTATTTTCTCTCTCCTTTTCTTTTTAAGGGATGCATTTACTTATGTTCAAGAAAGAAGATTCTGTATTAATCCTAATGCTGGATTTGTCCATCAACTTCAGGTGACTTTTTTTTTCCCTCCCCCTGGTTGTAACTCAAAAGCCATTTGATGAATCATCTTCCTGCAAAACAGCTGTTTCTACTTAGGCTTAACATTTACTGTAAAAGTATGCTTCAAGTAAATGTCAGAAGCTATAGTAGAGCTTGGGTACCCTAGTTTGTGAAACTTAAGCTTTAGACAAAGCAAATCCAGGAGTGGAGGAGAAATAAAAATCCTGTTTTGTGCAGTGACTAAGAGGCTCTGGAACAGCTTAGGTGGTGGCTGAGGACGCTGCAAAGTGCGCATCGTGGCACGCATCAGCGATGCTTCTTGACACTTGCATTCATAGGTGCTGAAATTCACGCGTCTGAAGCAGCAAACAGCGGTATCGTGAAGTTGCTTTATCGTATTCCAGGTGACTGGTGGGCAAACATCAGGGCAGTACGTTGAAAGAGATTTGCAGTGTCTCTGCTATTACTCAGGTGGCTGGCAGCAAGATGATTGAATATCTCCTGAGTCTGGGGTTTTGGTTTTTTTTCCTTCTTTCTTAAAGTAACTCCTGCGAGGAGTTGTTGTGTAGCACTGAAAGCGTGACGGGTCACTCGAACACAACTTCAAGGCCATGTATGGTTCGTCCTTGTAACAAATCTCTGAAGCTCCCGTATTCTAAGTTTGGTTTGTTCCTGCTGTCTGAGTTGCCTTCTGGACACAGCGCGTTCTCTGAACATTCTTGCAGAATATTTTTTTTAATGAAAGTTTTTACTCTGTTCCCTAAAGCCGTTTTTTGTCATCCTTTAAGTTTTCTTTCACTCTGCCTTCCTGATAGTTGTCATTCACGTCACAGCAACAAAGAACTCTCCTCCTTTAAAATCTCTGCCTGACTGTAAGATACTCTCTAGTCCGTCCTGGTGAACTCTCTGAATTAGTCCTTCTCATCCTTACAAAGCGTTATGCCAAACTAATAGCAATATGTATTATTAAACTTTTTCAGGAATATGAAGCCATCTATCTAGCAAAATTAACCATCCAGATGATGTCGCCGCTGCAGCTGGAGAGATCCCTCTCAGTTCCACCTGGTAGTACAGGTCAGAAGCCTCTCCTGTTGCGTGCGATGCCGCCTGTCTTCCCTGGTGTTGTGAGGTGGCTTTTGCCCTCCCTAAGTAAACCCCCAGCAGCAGTGAATCTCGGACTTTTGTGAAGGCTGTGTTCAAACTTAAGTATGCAGCACTTAAATATTCTGTTCTCCTGTGGTTGAACTTCCCTGTGGTGTTGCCTGCACTTCCATACCATACTGGAGAAGGGCCCTGCCCCTCCCTGTCCTTCAAAAACCCCGAATTCCCTAGAGGAATCAAGAGTGACAGGTTGAAAGCAGCCAAGGTTCATGATGTAGTTGGTACCCTTAAAATTAAGGCAGATGCTCTGGAAAAAAAAAAAAAAAAGCTTTGCTGTGCCTTTAAGCAGGTAACAGGGGATTAGGGTGTGTAAAAAATGTTACCTTAATCCCAGAGAGGTGTGCCAGTAGCAACCCTTTGTAAAGGCCAGAGAAAATGGAGTCTGGGGGGAAGACGTAAAGGGAGTGCAAAAAATGGTGGATTCTAGGAAATTTCTTATCCGTGTGGAGAAGTGCGAGGGAAGAAGAGTGCCTTCAGCAACCGGCTGTCCCAAAGCTGTAGGTCTTCAAAGGGCAGAGTCTCTGCAAGGAGGAAATAACGCCTGCCCTGTCGTCCCGCTCACAGCTCTGTGTTGTTCCAGCTGATCTTTTCCGATGTGTCCTCCTTCCTCTTGCCTTTTGCAGGAAGTTTAAAGCGAATGCATGAAGAGGATGACGAACTCGGACCCATGCAAGTGGCGGCAGCACAGAACGGATGATAGCTGCGGACGAGCACTGTCGGTATTGCGAATTCCTGCCAAGAAAGGTGAAGAAAACTAGGGAAAAAGACTTAATAACGCAAAACGATGAACACACACATAGCTTCTTCTCAATTACATGTTGCTTTCAGATGTAAATCTGCCTCTGCAACACACTAAGCATCATTTTTAAGATGTTGGACTTCTTGAATGAATAGATGGCACTGATTGTTTTACTCCTTTTTTACACTTTACAGTTTTATTCTAAACCAAGATTTTTGGACTTGCAAAGAGGTATTATTGCAATAATGCACTTTTCATACTTGAAATTTCTTTATTTGTATGATATAAAGTTATTACTTTAAACAAAATGCAAGCTGGGGGGATTTGTTTATAAAGTTATTTGTGTAATTTATAACAAGAGACTTTAGTAAAGAAAAAGTTTGCTAAAACTCACCTTGTTCTCAGTATATGTTATGGTCATGCTTGTAGAAACGCGCTTTATGAACTGCACTCTGCACTACTGCTGGCAGTTGAGCAACAGCAGTGATCTAATCGGTATTTTGCTCTTAACCTCGTTACAAAACCTCATTATATCCTGCATTATTTTGACACTGACATTCTGAGACCAATTGAAGGCAAAATACTGTCCTAAAAATCTCCCCTTGATTTCTGCAAGTTAAATTTAACAGAGTACCGATTAATTACTTAATAAAATAGTCATGTGCTGAATTAATACAGAGGGCAGCTACCAATTTTACACGCATCCAGGCTGAATTCTTTTAGCTAGCATTAAAAAGCGGCTTGTTAAATTAGTTACAGGTTGATTTAAGCTGAACAAGCCAGTATGGCCCATCTGTCTACTAGAGCAGTGCAACTTCAAACTGGTATTGAAGGAGGAGTTCCCGTTGTAAGGCAGTAGTTGCATCATTTGAGGTAGAAATGGGGTTGGTGTGTGCAAGCTGAGGCCCAAAGCACCGGCCACAGTAGTACGAACGCCTCAAGGATTCACCTCAGCTCTTCTGAAGCATTAGAGTCAATTAAGGCCACGCACTTTATCAGTGCTTTAAAGTTTTCAAATTGGGAATTGCCAAGGCCGTTTGTGCAGCTTTAACTCCTCTCCCCTCTCAAAGCACTGCGATAACCGCTGGCTGTGCAAGTCCGGCCTCAGTTCTCTTTATTTGCTTTATTTGCCGATCCCTCTGTCGCATGCAGGATACGAATGAAAGGACGGCTCCTTTAGAGCACTGTGGTGACTGAGCAAATTACGCAGCTGTTAGAAGAACTTGTGTATTTGGAAAATGTGAGCTTGTAATTAGACTATATTTTAACGGGGAAGAGGTGGGCTTAATAGAGTTGAATCAATATAAAAGGCACTTGGGGATCTGAGCATCCAGCGCTCTCCCCATACCGGTAGGGCTGCGTGCGAACGTCAGCCTCAGAACGAGCACCCTGCGCCGAGGGGGCTCGCCGAGGGCAGATGTCTTTGAACTTGAAGGCATGAATCTGAACCGCGAAGCCATGTTGTAGTGCGAGGATCTCTTCTGATGCTGCCTTTTGCCGGAGGATCGTCCAGCAGCTTGTTTACTTTGTAGGAGCCTGTTTGCTTTGTAGGAGTTCTGCCTCACTTTGTGTATTCAAGGCAAGTTGACCACGCCTGGGACTTGCTGATCTTTGCTTAGTCACTGGCAGGACTAGCCAGGACACCTGGGCGAGGCTTCACAGCTCCTAACCTCTTCTCCTGTGGCATGGGAGGGCTGTGGAGCGCTGCGTACGGGGAGGCTTCACAGCGCCGGTGGAGCCGAACCAGCCTTCGGCAGCGTTTTCCCTTCACTGCTGTCGGGCTTCTGCCACCTACGTCGGTGATGGAGCAGTGCAACTCCTTCAGAAAAAAAATCTTTAAGAAACGGATGATGCTTTAGTTAGGAAATTTTCAGCTGGAAAAAAGGAAGTGTTACTGTTAGCTCCTTAAGAACTACAACTTGTCGGTGTTAAGCTGACCGGCGAAGCACGCAGTGCTGGTTTTGCAGTTGTAAGGTTTCTTATGTGCTGTTAACTGACTCCCTTGAAAAGAAACCTTCCGGGGCCACGGGGAAATGCCTTCTCGGGTGTTTCGCCACCTACCCCGCGAGGCTACCGCATGGTTACGGTGCGGGGTGTGGATGTCTGGCTCTTGCCCCGCTCACCAGATGCTGCCAGCTACAAGCTGCTGATGAAACCGGGATGGAAACCAGAACTCCTGTGTGAAATGGCTCTGTGTCAGCTCCCTCGGGAAGGGGCAGAGATGAAACAGATGGAAGAACGCTCCTGACTCATCTGCCCAGCCCCTGCCTTGTTCATGTGGCGTCTGGGTCTGGTCTCTCGCTGGGGTCCTGGTGCTTCCCTGGGGAGGCTGTTTCACAAACGAACAAGCTTCATGACTAAGGATTTTCCACCAATCTATTTGTTTTTTGTGCCATTACCTCCCACTGCTGCCTTCTACAGTCATTCTGCTCTGCTGCCTTCCTGATAACAGCCTCTCGCATCCTAAGGGATTTTGAGATTAGTTTTCCTCATCTATCTGTTATTAAGCCTTTTATTTAGAACTTCTTGACATCTGTCTCATTTAGCTTACTGTCAGTAGGTGTTTCAGTTACTGTTTGCTTCCTGGGGTTAAACCCAAGGTGGTAACTGGTAGCTGTGGCCTCAGAGTAGCAGCAGAGGTTGAATTGTGGGGTTTTTTTTCCCCTTCCCCAGGTTCAGACACAAAGCTGCAGCGCCCAGATCGTTGGGGACCCACAGCTCTACGTTAAGGTGCTGCAGCTCCCTTTGCCAGCTCAGGGGAAGCAGAGCGAAGGAGCTGGAGATCTCTTCCTCACGGGGGGACAGCTGTTAGCCAAAAAATGAAATCCCAAGGAGGTAACGCTGAACCCCCGGAGAAGCTGGTAGTTGTCATGGTGCATTTCTGACATTTATTCCCTGGGACATCTTTTCTGTTGAGCCAGTTGTACCGTAGATAAATTAACAGGGCTTCTTCAGTTTAGGAGATGGGTAATGTGTTTTAATAGCACCTGTTGCTGTTAAATGCTGTTCTTTGTGGCGTTGTCCTGCTTCCTGTGAACTCGGACAGTTTAAAATCCGTATACCTGCGTACTGGGTGTTCTTCCAGCTGGCCGGGGCACGTCCGAACCTAGTTTGTAAGTCCCCAGCCTGGCTTGTATCAGCTCTACAGCACCTGCCTGCGCCTTGCAGAGGTATTCCTGTTTACACCCACAACCCTTTCCTTGTGTGAAAGACTAGGCTGAGCCCAGTCTTCCTCCAGAGGAAGAATTCCTGACAGCCCGGCCGGCTGTGACGCAGCAGGTGACAGCACCTCTCTCCCACCAGAGCTGCGGTAGCCTGCCAAGGTTGGGAATGTCACCTCGGGTAGAGAACAAAGAGCCCTTCCGAGCTGAAGGGATGCTGTGGAGCTGGGCTCCTCCCAGCAGAGGCAGCGTCAGGCAGCCACAAAACCAAGCTTCCACCCTCCTTCATTTGGTTTACAATGCTCTAAGCTGGGTACACCATCACCTGCTCCTCACTTGCACTCATCTTTTCATTAACTCTAATGAGGGCCTGGAGCTATGTAGATGGTGGAGATATCCTGGAATTCAAATCATCCACTTTAAATCAGTGGAAATTCAGAATTAATTAAAACTATGAGAGCCAAGAAAATCCACCTCAGTCATTTGGGCCTAGCATAAATCAGCAGCTGGTTTTAAACAATTAGTTCAGAGTCAGGGCTTGAACCACTTTGATCTTCCATCCGCAGAGCCCATCCGGGAGAAGCCCAGAGGAGAACAGCCCTAAGAAAAGGGGGTGCCTTGGCCTCACGGCAGCTCTAGCTTCAGCCTGGCCCCGAGACGTGCTGGCCTCAGACCGTGCCGTGCTCTGGCTGTCCCAGTGGCCCTGGGCTTGTGTCCACGGCCGCAGGCGATCGCGCCCCTCTGGTTGTGGGGCTGGGGTTTGTGCCTGCGCAAAGGCTCCAGCACCAGAACAAGCCGAGAATTTCCTTTGAAGACTTGCTTCGTAAAAGTCACACTCGCAGAGATGCAAAGGTGCATCAGAGACATGCTTAAAATCTACATGGAGCCTCAAAAAGAGTTCGGTTCAGTCTAGGGAAAGGAAAACAAATGTACTGGCAGCAGGCGGTGCTGTTCCGAAAAACAGGTACCCGCTCGCTCTGGATACCTACCACTAGGCACAACACAGCGCTATGAAAACCAGACCAGATACATTTGGCAGTCTTCATTTATTCAGCTTAAACAAAGATTTTGTTTTTAAAAAATAATCAATAAATAAACCAGACATCACCAAGGAAACACTATAGTGAGTGGAGTACCATCAGGAACATTAAATAGAACCCCCACCGCAGCTTAAAGTAGGCTCTCCACGCCACAATGAAAGAACGTTTTGTAAGGCCTAACTGTTCACAAACAAGACTGGCTGTTCTGTACGAACCTTCGTGTATTTATAATGCCCTATTCAGAGATGCAGGATCTGTCACTCTCTTCGCACAAAACGCTACTGTTGGAACCAGGGCTTTGTACATTATTTGCTTGCCATCCCTGGCAAAAGTGCTAAAATCATTTATCCAAATCTTACAGTGAAAGGGATGCTCCAAAGCAGCACCAGTCCCCGGGAGCGGGACCGGGGGATCTCGCCGCGGGTTTGCTATGCCGTAGGCATAAGCCGTTACCAGCGAAACCACGGCCGGTCGAGTACAGCGAGGGGGAGCCGAACGCAGCGCTGCCTTCCTGCGAATACAGGCATTAACCGCCAAGCCCAAATCCCTTCCCCACCGAGCCGGGTGGAGTCCGTCTGTCAGACATTCCAGTTCCCCAGTTACCTTATGGCGCAAACCATCGGGTTGGTTTTTTTTTGCATCAGAAAACAAGTAATTATCCTGAAAACAAAGTAAGTTATCAGCTAAAGTGCAGGACCCCTGCAGTGAGAAGTACACATCTGTTTTTAGACTCGGAACATCAGCTTTAGCATAGCCCCTACCCGCACAAATAGTAACAAATTAAGTTTTGGAAAATAGTGCCTATAAAACCTTAGGTACGCTAACATCAACGGCGCTTCAGCGAGGTTTCGTGGAAAGAACAGAACAAGCGCCCATTCCGTATCGCCAATTCTGCACGAGAGAAGCAGCATCCCTACCCGAGCTACGTCGTCCTTCCCCAAGTACAGACAGGAGCACAACCCCGCGAGCTGTACTTTGGCTACCAAGAAAAGAAGCACAAACCTTTAGAAAAATACAATGCAAGAAAAAATTTGAGATAAAAATATATACCTTTGGTTAAAAACCATCCCTTTAACGAGAGTCCTTTGTAACTCAGCTAGAACAAAAAAGCTTCACTTAGACTGAACAGTAGTAAAAATTAGTTCTAAGCGCTGATTTCCTAACCCAGAGGACCCTTCTAAAATGTCAGTATTTTTTTTTTTTGCAGGATCTACACATTTGATGTTCATTATTTATAGGGATCGTTATATTTGCAGCAATAAACTATATAAATTTTCCACGAAGAGAGTGTTTGTAGCACAAGCTCCTCCACCAAGTCTTTAAAAAAAAAAAAGACTAGAAGTTCTTAATTAAAGAACCGTTGAAACATGTAGTTTTCTTCAGATACCGAATAGCCAAACTTCTTATAGAAATCCACGTTTTTTGGCAGACACTCAAGCGTGATTTTGTAACAGTTCAGTCTCTTACTGAGCAACGTCAGGGTGGACGTTAATCTGAAAAAGACAGAAACCCAACAGTTAAATGAAACGGCCCTGAACACTGGATCAATTAATGTTTATTTAGCTAAAGTTATCCGACCTACAATACCGAAGTTTTACAGCGCTCTGCGTTTCCCTTCGCTACGCAGGAGAGTTGCTATCCCAAGAAAAAAAAAAAAAAATGAACGAAGTACCAGCGTCTCGCAGACAGTTTTATGTTCCTGCTTTAAGAACCTCAGCTTGCAGTCTGGCAGCTCGTGATGCCTCCCGGCTGAACCCCCTGAGCCCCTCTGGCTGGGGAGGATCTGCCCTGCAGCCAACCCGCGGAGCCAAACCCCTGCTCCGGGAGGGCCGGTGAGCGATCTTTGCTGGCACCCATCGGCGTGGTCAGGCGGGGGGACAGAAACTGGGCGAGGGCTGGCCGCCCTGCCTGGCGTTGAATGGCAAAGGTGGCGAAATACTCACAGTTTACCAAGCTGCTTTCCTCTGCACTCGCCGCTTACTACGACATCTTCTATCCTCCCTCTCTGTGAAAACACAGGCAAGCGTCAGTCGCACAGAAGAGTGTTGTGTTAGTTTCCCTACTGCACGACGTTTCACACTTGGATTTTCTGCTGTCTGTTTAGCTACAACTCCTCCAGTGGTCGACACGCTCGTAATGCCCCTTCCAGCACCCAGCAGGAGCTGCGGTCCCACCACAGCCCTTCCCGCCGAGGGATCCGTGTCTCTCCAGCTCCCTGTTTTCACACGTCTAGCTGGGACTCCACAGCAGCGGGATCCTCAGCCATCTGCTCTGCCAGAACCAAGCCTGACTGGTTCAAAAGCTCACTGGGAGGGGAACGGGACAGACATCGAATTGCTCTTTTTCCTTAAGAAAAGCCAAAGCTTCCTTTTACTATTTAACTGAGCACCCAAGGACGGGAGATACTTTTAAAGTGCCTCTGTCACTGACTCAGCAGAAGGTACGTCATCACGCTGTAACAGGGTAAAAATAAAATGCACGGAGTCTGGGGACAGGATCTTTTTCCTCACTTTACAGCCGCAGCGAGAGAATATACCTTTGCACAGGAGTGAGTGAACTTATGTTCTATCACCAGCGTTGCCGTAGCAACAATCTGTCCAAGATTTGTGTCTTCTACGACAGTAACGTAGTAATCTCCCGATCTCTTCATGTGCTCAAAGGTTTCTGTGGGAGCAGACAGACAGCAGAACAGACTAATCTCAGATTAAATTGCTGTGAAGTCTAACACTTGTAACAGATTCTGCATGCAGATCACCGCAGGGTTCACGGTCGCAAGGAGGATGCGCCCAGGACCCCAGAACCCGAAAGCCCCAGAGCCAGACTCACCCACAGACAGAACCAGGAAAAAGCAGAAATTAAACAAATGCCTTTTCCTTAGCTGCCAAGAGAACCCTCCCTCCCCAGCGCCTCTGCAGATGGGCACTGCGATGAAGGTGGCACGGCTTCTAAGTCCTCTTACATCTCAGTCCAACCAGTGACGCAAGCTCAGGACGCTGTTGAGCTAGGATCAGAGGCAAGCCTCTGCCTCGCTACTGGCGCTGCAGGAATTCAGCCAACACAAGCCATCACCCAGTAGTCCCTTCTGCCAGCTTTCTAAAGCTCAGTCTCAGAAGCAGGTATACAATTTAGGCCTGTCCCAGCCAAGCAGCCCTTTGGGATAGCTGCAGCAGGATCCAGTGCTGAGTGCCAAAGGCTGCCTCAGGTACCCTGAGGCAATAAATCCCTCCGGCATCAGCCAGTCGGGAGCCTCGCACCCAAGTAGCTTTGCTGTCAGCATCAGTATCCTCTGGTTCCCAGCAACCTCTATGGAAATGCCAAGAAATAACGATATACTCACTGATAAACTGCTCTGGGCTTGCAACTCCAGTTTCAGTCAGCTGACCCAGAACCTTAAAAAAGCCTGTTATAAAAGAAGAGGGGGGGGAACAACCCTCTGTGAGGGACAGAGACACACACTTAGCTCCGAACAGCACAGAACAACCTGACATGGCTGTTTGGAGAGCTAACATCCCCACAGCACCATCCAGTTCAGTTGTAAGTAAAAGCCTGTGCTCTGCATATTATGGAACTAGGCTGGAACCTTAAAATCAAACTCCCACCTTAAGGAATACTGAAGGATCAGCTAATGTATCGGCAGCAAACTGCAGCTTGAGTGCAGAAGATGCACAGGTTCAAGAAAGAAAAGTATGAGCCTGAAATGATGCGATATTAAGCTGCATGTTCAGAACAACCTTTTTATCCAAGTTACAGAACTGAGGAAGTCTCCGTGCACCGAGAATAATACGCTGGTTCACGTTACTTTAATATTAAAGGGAACGGTACAAACAACTGTACTCCCTCTCTAAAGCTGCGGTGAACAGGAAGCTGTGAATTATTTGAAAGACACTGACTTGAAGTTTAAGATTGTTTTTGAGGTTATTGAAACAGTAAAACCAGTTTTGAGAATCACCCGACACAGCACCAATCCATGGCGCCAAGTGCTCAAATTCCTTACTGATAAAAATAACCCAAATCAGATAAAAGGAGCAACCCTAATCTATGGAGAGGTCATGCAGAAATACATATTATCTAGTTCGGCACCCAGCTTTCGTTGGTGGTGATCATTAAACAGGATTCTACCTCGATTTAAATCAGCTGTGCAAAGTGGTCTCAAAACTAGGCCATCCCCTGGATCTAAAGGAGAAATGGCAGGAGAAAATGTCGTCGTGTTCTCACTCCAGTCAAGTTCATGCAGAATATTTGGGTCAAACATCGGTGTGTCATCAGGCATCACGGTTGCAACAGGCATCATGGCTGCAACAGGTGATCTGGAACAGAACACACACGGTAAGGAACATTTTGGTCTCCTCTTGTTTTAATCTCTAAATATGCTGTTTCCCATGGTTATTTCATGCCACGTGACGTTCCTCAGGGACATAAAGAAAGGTGAACGAACTGCTGTTCACTTTATCTGCAATTGAAGCTACTCAACCTTCACCGGACTAGGCCACTGGGTTAAACAAGGAGCGCGCGCACTGACACGGCGCGCATTATCTAAAGTCAACACCTGGCACTTCTGTGTTCATCTGGGAAGTCTTTTTCTCTTGGGGTAAAAAAAAAAACCAACCACCAAACAGATAAGACATTGACGAGGATATTTAACCTCTATAGCCCTCCAAAAAGGAAAGCACCTCACACTCTCAAGAAGCCTCCCTACGATACCGTTTACCGAGTGTGGAGGAGACCGTTTGCATTAGTGTTCCATTTAAAACTGGCGGTAGGAATAGTACACTTTTTTCAACCAGTCCCATCACGTAAATATTTAGTATCTCAGCCAAGAGGCACTACATCACACATATGAAAACACAGATGATCCAACAGCCTGCACGCACGCTTGCAGCCCGCACTGCGTTTCTCATGCAGTCGTGTTTGCTCAGTGTATTTACAAAAATCTGACGCCATCTCAGCTGTAAAGCGCAGCGCCTCATTGTCCATTAACAGGTAAAACGCACAGCTGCCAAGATGACGGTGAGACACCTGTTAATGATTAACGAGAGACCTGGGAATTGCGTATTATTCAGGATTAGGGATAAGAGGAAGCAAAGTGATATATTTTCCTAATTGCTAGATGCAGGAAAATCATTCTTACTTTGTCACCTGTGGAATACCTGGTCAGGTTTCTGGCATGAGCAGAGTATATCATGGGAACTTCTCCTGAGGCTAAGTTCTTTATACATCTTCAAATTAACTTCGCTGCACCATAAAAGATACGGTAGTCGCATGCTGTTGGACAGGCCAAATAAACACCAGAAGGAAAAATGTATTTGGGATGAACACTTTTCAAAATAAGACATCTTACAGCTCTGTTAAGCTGCCCAGAGAAAGTACAGGGGATGTAAGCTACGAAGCATCTCAGCCTAACTGCAGCATGCAAGCCTCAAAACTGAAGGTGGCTCTGGAAACCCAACTGAAAAAGCTTCTTTAAAAAAAAAAACAAAACACAAACAAACCCACAAAATCTTTTTTTATGCCACCTGCTGGTATACACTGGCCTTCAAATCCCCATTCTCCACTCAGTCTGGCATATAAAAGTAAAAAAATTGCTGTTACAGCAATTAAACAGCAAAACAAATTCTCATCCCACATGAATTTTCAAAATGAAACAGCGGGAAAAATGAAGCACAAAGACAAACATTTCCATAGATGGGAGAGTCAGAAGTGAGAATCCAGGTCTTCCTGGTCCCAGTCCTGAGCTTTAGTGATCAGATCATGCTGATACATGCAGAGGACTGCAAGCCCATCGCCAGCATATTAATTATGTCCCTGCTAAGCAAAACTGAAGTGTTCCTGTTCCAGCAATGCATTTGGTATCTCTGTTCCTAGATCTTGATGATTCTAATGTTGCTGTTACCCTGTCCCGTTACAAAGCCTTCCTAAAATTCATGAGTGTTCATAACAACATTCAAATAGTGTCCTGTACAGAATAAAATAAATCCAATTAATTTCAGATCAGGGTTACAGAATAACAAGCACACAAAGCAGCAGAAAAGCACATGAAGGAAATCAAATTTTTCATAGAATCATAGAATCATTTAGGTTGGAAAAGACCTGTAAGACCATCAGGTCCAACCGTTACCCCAGCACTACCAAGCCCACCACTAAACCATGGCCCTAAGCACCACGTCTACCTGGCTTTTAAATACCTCCAGGGATGCTCTTCAAGCAGTTTGTGACAAACTAAGAATTATTTTTCAAACTACATCCAGCACAGCTGGAGCAGGAAGAAGTTTGAAGCTTCACGCATTTTCTGGAGTCAGGAATATGACTTACTCAACAGAGATGCATTGGCCAATTGAAAAAAAGGATCAATGTACGGCGAGGAAGAAGAGCCCGGGACTGTTTTGATGGGTCGCTGGTTTCCCCTCCAGGCCTGCTGAGCTTGCTCCGAGCCCAGGTGCTGGCCCTGGGGCGCACCCGAAGTCTCCCCCAGAGCATCCTGGGCTCCCCACCCGTGTTGGGAGCAGGACAGGGTCATGCCAGCACCCACAGGACACATTTGGCCCCTCTCACCCATCCCGCTTCCCTCTTCTCCGGCGAGGAGGGAGCGCAGTATGACGGGGATCCCGGCATACTGAGATGAGCTGCCTGCCTGAGGAAGACCCCCTGGGGGGGCTGGTGGCTCCCCAGCTGTGGCGGCCGGGGGGACAGAGCCCAGCCGTGCCCCGAGGGGCAATGGACAGCCCCACACAGCCCCTCGGCCAGGTCCCCAGCTGAAGCAGCCCCCCGGGGCAGGGGTGTTCCACACACAACCCCTCAGCGAGGTCCGACAGCTCCCCTCAGCTGAAGCAGCCCCTCAGGGGTGGGACCCCCCACCACAGCCCCTATCGGTAGTCGTTTCTCGGCCTCGTCCCTCCCGCAGAGCCTCGTCACCCTCCGGCCTCAAGGGCCGTTTCACCCGGGCGGCGGCCCCCGTGGGCTCGTCGGGAGGAAGGGTGAGAGGGCAGCGAGGCCGGCCGGGCCTCAGGTCGTGCTGCCCCGCCCCGCTGCGCCTCAGGGGCGCGAAGGCCAAGGCGTTTGCGGTTCCCTGACAGGATTTTGGCGCCTGAAAGAAAATCCCACCGCCTCCCCGGTCTAGCATCCCCCCAGGAGCGGGGCGGTGGTGGGGGAGCGGGTGGTGTCCCTCAGGACAGGGGGTGATTTCTCCTTCAGCGGGGCGGGGGGCCTTTGCTGGATCGCACCCCTCTCGTCCGCACCTGCTTTCGCTTTACAGCTTGGCAGGGATGTTTTCGGCCAACTGCCTTTCCCCTAAAGATTTTGGTATTTGTTTTGACTGCCTGCAGGACTTTCTTCTGGGGGAAGGGTAAAACTGACGCCCAGGCCGTGTCAGGTCAGTGAAGATCGGTATGACGCTTTTCAGCAGCGACAGATCACTAGGCTGCTGGCAGGGTGCAATTCCTGGCTGCTCTGCATACGTATCCCTGCCTTTTCACTGGGCTCTGGCCTCTGGAATTCCTCTGGGAAGCAGCTTGGTGGCTTTGCAGGGCTGCTGCCTTTAATCCAGAGCAGGCCACAGCTCAGGAGGGGCTCGCGGGGACCTGTGGAGGGATGGCTGGGATGAAAGGGCTATACAAAGCTTCCTCTCTCTCCTGAGGAATTGCAGGTGGCCGCAGCTTTTGTCGTGAAAGCATCGCTTGCTTTGATAATTTTCATCTCGGGGGGGGGAGGGGGATTGTTTTTGGAGGCTCCATCACCGCTCTTGGACAAGACCTGTTGTCCCATGCTGGGATGGGCCTTGTTCAGCCCCCAAGGCTGGCAGGGGGCACGAGTGAGGGTTTTTCTTCCTTTTCAATAAAAAAAAAAACAACACCTGGGAGATCATCTTGAAAGACTGTTTTATAAATAGCTGAGGTCAAGGCACGCGTGTAGCATGGAGCAGGAGGCCTGTCGAACAAGATAATTACATTACCCTCAGAATGAATCACTCGCTGTCACCGTGGAAACAATCAACATTACTTAGTTTTGACTTCTTCGGGCGCAGAGTGACCAGATGACACACACCAGCCTCCCCGGGCGCAGGCACACCCAAAATCTGGAGGCGATGCTCACCCCGAGCTTGTCCGGCGGAGCCAGGGCTGGGGGCTGCGTGGGTGAATCACCGCGACCGTTAACCTTTTATTGTGAGGGAAAGGCACAAATTGGGCGGGAGCTTTCCCCTCCTGAGCCTGCTCTGTTTCCTTTCTTTTGAGGGATTAAGAGGAGTGGGAAGGTCCCATCCATGCTAAAAAATGAACACCATATCCCGCTTCTATGCGCGAAGAGAAACGGGGAAGCGCTGCTTTGGCTGGTTAAATGGGGAAACTGGGAGTGCGGCCGCATTTCCACTGTGTGAAAAACAACAGACTGGGATTTAGCTTAACTCCCTCCACAGAGCCTTTTTCTTGATGGAAAGATTTTACAGATGCGAGGTAGATTTTGCATTTTACCTAAGTAACTGTGAAAAGTCATGATTTTTTAAAACCAAAATCATGCCATAACGAGGCTGTGACCACATGGGGTCAGCCCAGTTCTCCCCAGTGAGGCTCGGAGCGGAGGTCCTGGACCTGCATGAAGAATACCGCGCGTTTTGGACAAGCCTTATCCAGATACGTCTTCCCAGTTGCCGGCAATCGGCCGGGTAGGGACGTCCTGACCCAGAAGGTACATCTGGCCTGTGGTATTTAACAGCCGAACGGCGCTGTCCTCTGTGTGCATCTCAGCTTCTGACCTCCAGAGCCGCAGCGTAACGTTGCAGAATGAGGAAAAAAAAGTCCTTTCGTTTGGCAAACCTCTTGCCCTGCCCCAGCAGCGCTGTTTTTGTTAGTCCTGGAGACCAGTCCTGTCCTATTTACCACCACAAGTACTGACTTCAGCTTGGCTTGAGGACAGAAGTCTTTCTGCACGTGGATTTTGTAGCAGCGTGAGTTTAAACCAGAGCAGGGAAATGATCTGGATGGAAAAAAACCTTCCCGAGGAAAGGTGAATTTGCCAGGTGGAGGTGGGAACAGACCCTCTTCAGCTGGGTTTGCAAGCTGAGAGCAAAGAAACCTGCCCCGACAGAGGGGCTTAAACTGAACAGTGCTGAAACTGAACCCTCTTCTGTCTCAGGAACCCAGAGACATTTTGGAGAAGGGCCGCTGTCGCGAGGGGATTAACCTCTCACAAAGGTTTGCTCTTTACGCCCTCCCAGAGCCCGTCCAAAACCCTCCGGCAAAACCTGAGCCAGCCACCCAGGCAGGGCAGAACGGGGCCAGCTGGTTTTCAGCCGCTCTCCTCCCCGTGCTTTTTAAGCTTTTTCTCTAATTT